TATATATATATATCGATCAACATTTTAATAACATTGCTTCTATACCTGTTGGTTACGATAACATAGCATATATGTAAATATTGGTAAACCATGCATTATTCTATCAGAGAGTATTCTGTGTGGTTACTCTACTCAAACAACAAGATCAATCCAATAAATTCAGTTGAAATTGGTAGAACCAGTTGGATGCAAATGCTGGCAGAATAGCTCGCTTCCGCTTTTGAAATCACGAATGCCAATTTAGCTTGAGTCAACCTCACGCATTGTTAAAAACAATACACATTTTTATTTGATTATATAACTTGTAACATAAACTGCATATTATAACAATTTATATACAGTCGAAAAATGTAACATAAAAAAGCTGTAAATGTCAAAGTATAACATAAAAGCCGTAAATGTCAAAGTATCTTAAATGATTTCATACAGAACCGAAGCTTTTTTTAAAGTACTATTAAAGTACGATTCGTTTATGTCAAATTTTCAACAGTACTTTGAATTTTGCGCTTGCAGTGCTTCGTTCTCATTCGCAAAAGACGTTGACGATAGTGCAGTTTCTGAGAAAGAACGAATGCGTCGCAAAGGCGGCCAGAAGTTACCAGAAGGGTGGGGGAACTGGCTTACTTCCGGTTCGCCTATTCGCGCCACCATCCGGCACGAGCTGCATTCTCACGCTCATCTACATACTCGACATCAATATTCGGAACGGCCGGGAAACGGGCTCCGCTTTGCATACTGGACCCCCCGCTCGTGTCATTTCATCTTTCGTAGGGATCCCAGTGGGACATCGCGTGGCAGATCCTGAGAAAGGAGTCGCGCACAAAATACACCCCACGGACCGTCGCCCAAGTCTTCGTGCGTGCCGATGAATTTACGAAGAAAACGAATCCAGCATCCGCGCTTTCAAGAATCATACGCGAAATAATTTTGCCGAAATGTAAAATACCAAATGGGGCACGCAGAACGCATTTGGTCACATTTTTAACTGCTAATTTGCGTCCGAAAATGTTTCATATATTTATAACAATTTATATTTCCATCTTATATTTTGTTTTCTTTGATTTAATTTAATTTAATTTATCTTAATTAAATAAATTAAAAAATCTATAAGTAAAAAAAAAATAGTTCTAGAACATTATCCGTTACTACTATAAATTATTCCTACACTTGACGGTTATCGTTTTTTATATACTTCAGAATCGATATCGATTATTAAAATAAATTTTAAGTTTAATAGATGTAATCGTAGATACTACACGCGGTTGGTTGCTTTCTCGCAAGGGGCCGATTTTTCCATTCTTCCTCGTAATTATTATTCTTTACAAAGATCGCGGATGGTGGCGCGAGCGGTGAATGTGTACGAGCCTGGAAGATGGAATGTGGGTTGCGTAATTTAAATAATTCAGGAATGACCCTGACCCCGGATAGGCTACAGGGTGACCTGCAGCCGGCGATTACAATCACAATGCACCGCCGAGTTCTCAGGGTAAGACAGGTAGCGCCGTCTGACCCGCATACATTAAATCAAAATCATTGGCTCTGCGTCTGATATATACACACAAATTATATATACATTTATATAATATAATATAAAAACTTGGTAAGATAATACAAATTTAGCAAACGTATTGATTATTTTTCTGATGCTTTTAAAAACTGCTATAATTACTCAAATCTCTTTCCAACTTTACGTATCTGAGAAGACAGAGGAAGGCATCAAAAATAGAAAATAATAAAAAAAGATAATAAAGAGAAAGATAAGAAAAAGATAAGTGAATATATCTAAATTCTCCAAAATGAATTCGAGACGACAACGGTTGCATAACCAGTTGCATCATTCTCTTGCATCGCATTATCATCGTACTAAAGGCAAGAACTGGACTTATCCGCCATGGTACATATAGATCGAGAAGCATCGAATATTTAACCGGCACGCATTTAAATGGCCCGATTCGCAACATTAACATAACGGTAGGTAATTCCAGACGTCAAAGCTTGACTGCGTTCTACGTTCAAAGGTACGCGTCTCGCCGAGATCCCACGGTAAGAACTTAGACTGTTCGGTCTTGAAATCAGCGATTTCGAATATAGGATAGTCGATGCGTTTTAAATGATATGCAGGATGCACGGCACACGAAACTCCGTGAGAAATTGCGGATAATCTGCCCGCCGGATCAAAGCCTTTTCGACAATTGGAGATATGCAAAATAGGATTTATTCAATCTATGCAGAAGCCGTTTTACTGTTGCATAGATCGATTGTAAGTTGCATTTCGAAAGACGCAATGAAAAACGCTATGCAAATGACATAATATAAGAAGAAAGCATAAACTTGTGTGAAAGATTGTAAACTCAACAATTTCAGAAAGCCTTGTTACTTTAATTGAATATTTGTTACGAATTTTTTGTGTAAATTCCCGATTGATTATATTATTAAAAGAAAATATAAAAAAAGATGTACACGTAAAAATAAAATCAAATTTTTTGACAAATTAAAATATTTTTTTTTTACTAAACTTCTCGTGCGGCGATAATTTATAAATCAGTCACTCTTGTTGCAAATCAGAATTTACTATAAAAGGCGTAAATATAGAACATATATTTATTACATATTGTACATAAATATATGTATAACTTGTAATCAAACTTGCTTGTAATTTATTTATGGATTCAAATGGCATACTGTTGCACTCTAAACAGTGATGCAATTAACATTTCCATTTCGCCGCAAGAATTTGTTATATATTCAACACATGACGTTAATTATCATAATCTGGTAATTAAGTAAATATATACTGAACCTGTGAGACTAGCTATTCACAGAATTCAGCTGATTTAACAATTACAATATATCGTGGCAAATCATAATCTATAGAAATTATCGCTGATGTATATAATCCTACAGAAAATGATTAATAATATCTTTTTTAACTTCCGAGAAAAACTGTAAAAGAAATAGAAATTTATATATTATATTATAACTAACAAAGCGCGATGTAGTGGTATAGGTGAATCGATGTGATTCCTACACTGAGCTTGAATCAAGGATACCCTAAGACTGTCTGTTCTGTGTTTGATAATAATAGAAAAAATTTCGCGCACCCTGCACTGTGTTACCGTTAGTCAAGTATAAATCTATATTTATCTCCTATAAACGTCAATATCGCGCACAACATTTATGAGCAATCTAGGATCGTAAAATAAGAAAGATTAGATATTTCTTAATGATTAATGTCTCTTTATATAAATAGCGCTATAAAAAATATTCAATCGCCACCATTTTTTAATAATATATCTAATAAAATTGTTTCGATTAGAAAATCCAATGCGAATCTTTTTATATAATAATAGATAAAATGTTGTATAAAAATTAATTGAAAACATATTGTCATATTGCCTTCAATTAATCCGGAAAGTTATCTTGTCAAACGAAGCAACGCATAGTACAATAACAACACGCGATCGAGATTTATTGACGAATAACGTGGTCGGGGCAAAATTAGCGTTTTCGGGATGCTCGGGACTAAACGGCCGAAGGGTTGTAAGCTGGTATGCAGATGAGCCGACATGGTCGACCCTGGAGACGGATGTTGGCAGTCTGCAGCTACGTAGACAATAGGCCAGTACCATTATGTCCATCGAATCCTAAAACCCTATAGAGTCGTTCTTCTCTGTCTATTATCCCGCTGGTGGCAGGCCACATTGTGTAACCGGCCTGCCACGGGACCTCGGGCATTGTCGGTCCACCTAATTATTCGCAAATCTTCCGCTCGTTGCCGGTAATTCTCCCCCGTCCACTAATTCGCAAAATTCCATCGCTTCTCTAAAGCTCTTGGATTCGGTCGTGATTTACGCGATCTCTCGGGCCCCCTCCCATCCCCCTCGTTTTCCTCTCAATCAGATTTTCGCGATATCGAATATTTAATGACTGATATAATACTCTCGTATGCTTAATTTTGTTTAATAATATAGAGCTGTTCTTACAGAATATAGCATGGAACCCACATGTAAGAGACGATATTAGGATCTCCATATCGATATGTCGTATGAAATATTTAATTAGAATTAATTCAGTCATAAATAATGAGTTAATCGTTTCCCTCAAATTAACCTTAAATAATCTCCAGAAAAGAAATTGTATTTTTTCCTACAATTTTCTTAAATTATCTTAATTTTGCAAATTATTTAATTCCCCAAATATATTAAAATAAATAAGATAATTAAATTATTAGAATTTATATTGCTAGAAAATGCAAGGATAATAAGATTTTGGTATTATTGTCTTATGCTTATAGATGTGAGTTGCAACTTTATCATTGATAAGTAAATAAAAAAACTTTAGAATTATATGTATATGTTGAAGTCCTTAGCTATAACTAGCTAAGTAACTAGCTAGCCTTAACTATTTACTATATTTTAGTAGTTATATATATTAGTTTCGTTCGAGGGTATGTGTTATATACATTTTCAATTATTCTTACATAAACGTTAGGCTCTTTTAACCATGATCACACACCATCTTTGTATATATTTAAAACAAAAACTTACCTCAGGATCATTTGATTCTGCTCTCTGATATGTAAACAATGGAGCCAACTTATCGTAGAGGTTTACGCGTTCGTGAAGATCTTTGAAAGGATTTTTAGTACTGAAGAAGTCGAGGTCGATGTCCAAGATATATGGAGTATCCTTTTCTGGTAGATATTGACGTAATATCGAGCTGACGGCTGTAAAGTCATCTTTCTGTAACATAAATATCAGACAAACTGTATTATAATATGTCAATTTTTTTTATATATATTCTCTTTTAGACTAAAAAAAAAGATTTCAACAATAAAAATATTTTCTTGATAATATACTTTATTTCTTAAGAGCGTTTCTGAATAAAGTAAGATTTTCATAAATTAATTTCCTAATAATTAAGTGTGTTCACTTCACTTTCTTTCTTTAATCTACAAAATTTTTATATATTAAACACATTATATAAATAACAATCGCGCGGGAAGAAAAAAAGAGAGAGAAATGCAATTTTACAATATTGATATGTTTTATATTTTTTCATTGCTGATGATCGCACTATTTTGGTTATTTGTCACTAAAAGCGAGATTATTCACTGGAAGATAATCGCATAATGAAACATGAGCATTCAGATCTGCGAATTAGCGACGCTATATTACTCAATCCTTTTTTTTTTTTTTTTTTTTTTTTTGGCGCCGCGCGCTGGCGAAACGTTGACGATAATTACCAATAAAATGATCGATTGCCGACGTTATATCGAATTCACGGCCTGTTCGGTCCAATTTCCAAACGGGATTTCACCAACCATAGGAATACACGAGACGCTCGACGACGTGCGCAACCGTTCGTATGAACCGGATATTGTTCATAGCGGGGCAAAACGTGATGCTGCCCGCGTATAGAGGGTTTTTTGTGACGCACAAAAAACAATGACTGCACTCGAATTAATTCTGTTAGAATTGATACTCGGCCCCGGCACTGGGATCGCAATTTGCATGCGTTCACAACAATGAAATACAACGGCGCACGCGGGGTGAGCTGTAATACTATCGCGAGGAGGAGGAGGAGGAGGAGGGGAAAAAGGGGGAGAAAAACGGTAGGAGGAGAAAAGCAAAGCCAACAATCACCCTGAGCAGTGGCTCTCAAAGCTTTTAACGGTTTCGATGCAACAAGGCAATTTTTGGGAAGAATGTTTTTCAATCGAATTGAGTGAATGCAAAAGAGCATCAATATTTTTAAAGTATAAAAAAAAAATATGTGACCCTTCAGAAAACCGAGATATTTCTCAATAACAGAAATTAATAGAATAATTACTCTCTTAATGATAGATAACATTTTCAGCGTATAAAATTCTAAATCTTATCTACAAATGAAAATGAGATGTCAAAGGATCTTTCATACTTTAGATTTTTTCTTTAGAAAATTAGGAAATGATTTGAGAAAACCCACACACCCAAACTGTTTCAATAAGAATTTAAGAAAATAAAAATATTCTATTATAAAATGTTTCTATCATTCTGAGAAGAATCTACTATGCTACCAAAGTTTTGATCGAATATATACAGATAAAAGATATTTTTTGATTAAATATTATGAGTATAAGTTGCTTGAGTCACGAATAATTATGTAGCTCGAATGCAGCTGCGGAATTTTCTGAAACGCAGCGATTAATTTTTTATGCTCTCAATCTGCCATGTCGGTTGATAAGAGAGCGTGCGTTTTGCGCAACCTTCGCATCACGCTCTGCAGATGTTCGGTCTTGGGTTTGATTTAATACGATCTCTGAACCAGATTGCTGCGGATCTACAATCCAGTGGACGATGATGTCAACGAAAGCATAAGCTCGTTAATGTGTTTTTGATTAGAATCTTCTGCGAAGAGATATTTTTTCTTGCCCTCTTGTCTTTGAACTAACAGATTCTCAGGAAATTCGCATTTAGTTATTAAGTATTATACATCGATTTTTCAACAATGATTTTGCACAATTATTTATAAAATTTCACAATATAATTTCGCATTTCTATTATATAATATATATGCTAGCATAATTATTAAAAAATTAACAATTTCTAATACACGTATCTAATACATATTTATAAATAATTTTATGCAAAATATTTTTTTAGGATATAGGAAAGATGTTTTATTGCATTTGCATAAGAAACACACCTTCTGTAATAATTATATTTTTGCAAATGTCACGAAGCTGCTTGAAATATCAGTAGACGAGTCACAGTAAGATACATAATCGCAGAAAGTTATCTGCGATTTATGCTTGAACAATTTTTTAATTGTATTCTTATCTCGCAACGAGCGAGGCTTATAAAACGAGACATATATATATATACATATATATGTACAAAGACATGCAATATTTGAATCGGATGATTTATAAGAAAATGTTGAGTAATTCTTCGGACGAATCATTTTATAAATTATATTGAGTGTGAAACAAAAGAAAAGCCGAATTACTACAGACTGTATAAGATAGCAATAATAATTATCAAAGGGATTTTTCCTTGAGTCATATCGTTTTCCAGCAATGTCTAATAATTTTTCCTCTATACTTGAATATAATACCTCGCGGGCAAGCATTTAAAGCTTCCTTCGTGCAGTTTTCCATTACACATGACACACATGGCATGTGAACAAATTGCACGTTTAGAACTTTCCACTCGATATTGTGATTAATATTTTCAAATGAAACGCGTTATTATGCTACACGTATATTTGATTCACGATAGTGTGTGGCTATCTAATTGTGCAATTGTATAATTCATTTCGTCAAGTATTTTCCTTGTCAAACGTTACTTTTTTTGTGATTATCTTCAGATTTATAAATTTCCGATTCATCATTAATCCATTATTTTTTTTCATAGGCCTGTGACATTTTTTTATTATTATGCGCAAAATAAGCATGATAAAGCATAAATATTCTACGAACGTATTGGCGATTATAATATAGAAAACTGTGCAAAGCGAAATGTCATTGTCGGCTAAATTTAAATCGCGAAAGTCGGACATTGCACCCAGCGTAAGTGCAAACGCGATAATCCGTCGACTTCGATTTCGACAGATATTTTCGTCCGTGCAAATGCGGAATTAGAACACGATCGCGAAAGTGCCACTTTTACACATACCCATTAAACATCAAATAAAAGACAAATGCTTAAATATTTAAGAATTTTGATTTCATCTTATCATAATTTTTATATGTTAGAGAATTAATATCATAATATTAATACTACAAAATCATCGCAAAAATATACTAAGTTTTAATTAAATAAAACAATTTTTAAATAAAACTAATTATATTAATTTTTAACAATTTTTTGTTTTAGATTCATATAAGTTATACATCAACTATATTTCTTCTCTAAAATATGTTTAGAATCTTTCAAGATTTTTATATACGATTACTTTATAAAATTAATATAAAACTCAGCTCTCTTCTTTTTCTCTTATCGCTTCTCTTTTTTGCCATCATCTCTCTTACATGTCGAATTCCGCAGATTTAAAGAATTAGGAAAAAGCATATGTGTTTGAAAAATGTTTACAGTTTCCTAATAATACAGATTCTAATGAGCGATTGCGCGCATTTCAAAGGGTGGTTTTAGTTGTGGGATCTGCATACTAACAAATGAATATGCTTGAACAACGAGCAAACGAGTCTCGCGGAGAGCACGTGGCAGCTCGCAAAAGGCTTACGTCTCCATGTGTGCGTGTCATGAGTTCGTCGGTCACACCACCGTCGTGGCCGCAATTAAGGCGAGCAATGCCACATGCAAATGGTCGCATTGTCTTGACCCAAAGTGGCGCGATCTCAGTCGGCTCATTGTGCTTTCACGGACAACTTGCATGACAGGGAGAGCAGCACAGCGTCGCAAAAATCGCAGCTCGCTCATTTGCATCGGATGTACAATACACGCGCCGATCGAAAACGCAAACAATTTTCCATTAAATGGATTTCCATTCCTTCTAAGAAAATTGGATAAATGCACCGAAAATAACTCAAGAGTTAATCGAGAGTACGTGCAAATATAAATCGAGCTCAAGACGATCGGAAAAATGTTCTAAATACGACTATTGACTCAATTTACGGTATTCCAAGAGTTAATGAATCTATTGTATTTAATGGATATATAAATTAAGAGTACTAGTTTTTGGAATTATATAATGATTTGCATTTATCGGATTAAAAAAAATAAAAGAAAATTTTTTTATTTTGGTTTTCTAAATTAGCAATGTTGAAATGTTTTTGCTTAGCTTTTTATATTAATTGCAAACTTATTTTTTATTATAAAATTTAAAAATTGGATAATATCGATTATGAAATGTGTAAATCTAGCAATATGATAAAATATAATAATGATATATAATGACATAAATAAGATGTTAATCACAAACATTTTATAAAAAAGACAAAATTTTAAATATGTAGTTTCGAAATGTTTTCTATCATTATATGAATATGATTATATAATGTACTCAAGAGCAAATCTAATAATTATTTTCAATAAATAAAAAATATGCTGAATTAGCGTGTTCAAATTCTGTATAGTTATGTCTATTTATCTATTCTTCAACAACCTCATTATCTTTTGGTATATTTGCAAAAACAGATTGTGCTCGATACATCAACAAAATAGCATCCGTAATGACACGTTATCTCTGTTCTATTCTTATATTCTTCAATCCGATATGCAATCACTCGCGATGCAATGCAATGAGTGCGCATATAGCGAAGATTACGCAAGCAACCGAAGTAAATCTCCAAGATTCGATGCAAAAGTCACGTTTTCATGACGTTTCCCCGCCCCGCAGCTCAGACACTTGTGCGCGAGTAATTAATTAATACGCGTTACGCAACGCGTGGGCGATGCCTACGCTCGTTTCCGTTGAATTTTGATCGTCTTTTAATCGCATGCGCAAAAATTCACCCGCGACGCGCAATCAACGACATATCTCGACATGAGTACGAGATACCGTCCGCGCGTTCGCTCGTTATCGTGGCCACGTGTCGATCCTGATGCATTGTTCTTGCACAAGGTGGATTAGTCTCACGGCACCCGGGAATGGCAGCGTTAATTAAAACGATACCTCCGCATCACGTCGACGGGAATTCGAACCTCGCACGTATGTCAAACCTTTGCTTCCTCTCGTATATGTCAAGTGCGTTTGCCATTTTACCTGTAAATTAATTTTCAACTACTACATTTAAATCTCAAAATATAATTAAATCTAAACTTTATCAATCAAGATAAGTGTAGATCATTTGTAAAATGTCAAACAGAAAACACGTATTTCTCTTAATACTATTCTATTTATTGCGTATCAATTTCTTCATTATTAAATGGATATCAGCGCATTTAGATCCAGTTAGATTTAAATCAGTTGCGTTAATCATAAAATCCTTGAATCAATTGGCACGTATTCTACTTTTTACCATTCGAGTCGTCGCGTAATTTTCTACAAAACATAAAAAATCTTGCGTGTGAAGAATAATTCATGTGTGATGATTATTGTTATTTGCCTGCAGTTCTTATTTAAATGATAATGCATGTGAAATAATAAATTCAATATTAAAAACTTTCATGTATTATTTTGCAGGCATTAAAGATAATATATCCTTTTCATTTAAAGACATCTACATATATTTACATACACGATTGATCACTTTTAATCATAAATCAATACACAAGAGCTCAATCGATTAATCAAACCACTTGTGGATTAAAATATTAAAAATAAGATGCGGATAGATATGAACACTTCCTTGATTCACTCATCTCCTTGATTATAATTACGACAAGTGGAGAAGGGATGTTGATTAAATATATAGAACTTACGTAAGAGCATTCTGTAAAGAAAACAAACCCAGATGAAGAGACTCAATATAAGTCCGAAAGAACATTCTTGTTCCGATCGGCCTCCTACGTCAGGCGACGAGATGTATCTTCCTACCTACGTAGAGCCCATACAGAAATCTCGTACAGAAATCGCGGCGTACGGACGCTGTCGGTGTTCGTAAAGATGTCAAGTCTACCCTCTCTTCGATCAATGTCGCACGGCACGTTCGACCAACGTCGAGAAGTCGGCGAGCGAGTCGTCACGACGAGTCAGCACGTTTTGTAGGAGGGCTTCGTAGAGACGGCCGCCTTAGTGCTCAGTATGCAAGCTCAGTGGTGGCCGCATCCGGTAGGTACGCGCTCGCGCGCGCAAGCTCGGAAACTCACGTTGCATTATGTATCTGTCTGTCGATACCAAGCACCACGCGTGAGCGCGATGATAAGAATAGAATAATAGAATTTTCTATCAACTCTTCTCTCTTCTTTTCTTAGGTCGCGCCGCGTCGGATAGAGAAGACGCTATTGCAAAAGGAATAAAATACCACGATATAGCATTTTTTTTTTCTTTCTCCTCTCTTGGCTCTTTCTCTCTCTCTCTCTCTTTGATGAGCGATGGTAAGCCGCGCTTCCCCGCTGCGTCTCTCGTGTGTATCTCATCGGTAGATCTCGCCTCGTATGCCTTTCTTGTCGGTATCGACGCTGAAGTGCCGTTAAAGTGCCACCGCGTCAGGGTCTCGTCGAAAAAAGAGCCCGTCGCGTTCCATCTTCTTGCGGAGATACAGCAACTTCCTTGGGAAGCCGAGCGGGTTCGCAACGGAGGTCTCTTCTCAAGGAAGAAAAGGGTCGAGATATTTCTTGACAAGGAGAAATATCAATACGATCGTAGTAAGTAATAATAATATCGAGTATCAAGTACTGCGCATGATTACGTTACAAAGATGATTATAATCGATAAGATTTTGAAAAAAAATTAAGAACGCGAGCCACAAGTATTATATAAAAATAAATATTTCCCATAGGAAACTTTCAATATAATATTGTTAAAATCAACTGCAGAATCATAATTATTTCTCAGCAACTGCACTGAAAAAACTGATTGGTAATAGTTATCAAATACATTTAGTTGTGAATTTTAATTGAATATTTGATAATTATTACCATATTTAATAATAGTTACTAAATCTCAAATTTTGTTCATAATTGAGTAAATTAAATAATTTAGTAATAATTACTAAATATTTAAGATTGATATTTACTATTTTATTTCACACATTCAATCTTCATATCACGCTTTGTCACATTTTATTATAACTCAATTTTCGCCTGAGCATATGTCGTACAAGAAATAAAGTAGGATCATGGCGGCGAACCATTTCAGGCCCGGCTATCACTTGTCTCATCGCATTTCTCTGCTTCCGCAACGATACCGATGTCGACGTCGGCATAACGCGATATCGTCGAAATAAATTACGCGAGATAAGTTTCGCTCCCATATTTGCGTGCTACTGGACTATACTATCTTAATGCTGCGCCGCGATTCTACGGTTGGTAATTGTCGGCCAATTACCGTGGCGCTGACGTATTTAGTCGCATGCGAAAAGAGCCGTCCATTGTTTGCTCCCTGGTCTCGGTACCCGCGTTCCTAATTATGTATAATATCCGCCGGGAAAACGCGGGCGATACATCCGCGCGCCTCGTTCCATTGTTCACGCTAGCAATCAACGCCTTTTCCTAGATGAAACTGTAAAAACCAGCGGAAAATCTAGCAAACGGCAACCTGTTAAGATTCAATTTTCTACATAATCGTGTAATTAGCGATGTCATGTACATACATTGATAATGTGTTATTAAGGAGAATTTTTTTCATGCATTCTTCCACATGAAGTTCGATGTATTAACACAGTTCTCTATCTACTATATCAATGTGCAAATCATGTTTTTTTTTTTTTTTTAATTATATTTATATATATCTTTTTCTCTCTGCTTCAATAAAAGGAAGCTCATATGCGTTTTTTTTTTTTTTTGTAAATGTAAATTGAAAGCACGTGCACGTATATCTTTGCATATGTCCATGACCTACCGTAGTATAGAACATAATAATATGTTATTGAAAATCTTCTGCTGAGTAGTAACGGAAAAAGTGTCAAATTAATTCCATGCTCTTATCTCGATTGAAATGTACAAGTCATAGCAGCGAGTGATAATAAAAAAGAAGAACTGATAGGAAAAAAGTGATCGTTCGTGATATAATGTAGAAAGTGGAGACGTGTAATTTTGTTCTTGCACACGAATATTTTCATATTTATTTATTATATTATTTTTGTACTGACATCGTAGTGAATAATGAGCGCGTTATAAATTATTTCGCCTGTCATCTCTTCCTACTCGTCATATTTTTCACCGTCCCATCGTGCTTAAACCGTACTCGTACCTCGAGACGGCGCAAATATCCTGACGTAAATTATGCTGATCTGACCTTTAATTCTCTAATCAATGACTCGCCGCGGCGCGCCACGCTAAAACACTGTAACACTTTTGCGGACACCTGTAGCGCTTCCAGTTAAGCAAACTTACGACTACCTGTTATTAGCAGGTTGCGCGCATGCAGTAGATAGAGGATAGACAACATTGTCTTGCTGCTTCGTGGCATAATTAACTCTCGTAGTATTAATTAGCGGCGGCGGTGCGCCGTGATGCGGCTTATCCTGTCCACCCAGTCGCGAGCTATTTCTTACGCTTCCCTTGTTTTTACGTGACTTGCATCACGAAGAGGCACAAGGCAATCACAGCATACGTTTGTATTATACTAGTTATGTCGCGGTAATTTCACAAATTTCTACAACCACTGGTCATCTCAACAAACACGAACGAGAACTCTAATGACAATTGAAATAATTTTCGTACTACTATGACGGAAATAAATCGCTGTATTCATTTTTTTTAATTATCTAATACTTCAAATTAAATATTGCTCCGGATATCAATTTATTGTTCGAATTTTTATTTATTTTAGATACGTTAAAAAAAATAATAGTAAAAATTAAACCTAATGAGATTATTACATAAGGAACAGCTAAGCATTTTATTTCTTTCATTTTCTTGTTAAAATAACTGAGAAAAATTTTTAACATAATATTATATATAAATATACAGGGTGTTAAAAAAAACCATTCAATATAGTGAGTAAAAAAAAACCTTAGTAAATGTAGGTCGAAAGCTCAACTTTTTCTGAAATATAAACATTTTTGTATGTTAGCATCATGATTGACTTACTGGCTTCTACGATGCATGCGACGTGAGAAGAAGATAATCTGTCTAAATCTCAATATTTACAGGTGTTCCACATGTCCTCCTTCTATTTCCATACACGTTTGGCATCTTCTTTTTACAGAATCGCGAACTATCTCGAAAACTCCAGGTCTCTGTCAAATTATTTGACAAGCACGCTGGATTCGGTCACGTAATTCTTCTAAAAATAAGTTATTTATCGGCAAAGAATAAACTATACAGCCAAAGACATATTCTCTAAGAACTGAGTTAATGTATTTATCTTCAGCACGATACTTTGTAACTGTATAATCACCAAATAGATCCGCAATCGCCGGTTGATGACAACTGACTCATTGCCGGTGAAACATTCTGTTATGAAGCATGTATGGAAATTGAATGAGGATATTTAAAACGCGGTTTATAAATACTGAGGTAAACATCGCATGCGACACGTAGAAGCGAGTAAATCAATCATGATGCTAACATAAAAAATGTTTATATCTCAGAAAAGCTTTCGACCTATATTTACCAAGTTTTTTTACTCAATATGATGTATCCTATCTATCATATAAATATTGGATGGTTTTTTTTAACAGCCTGTATATATTATGTAGCTTGTTGAATAATCTGTAAAATATATCAAGTTTTCCAGTTATTAGCCCAAGAAATTTTTCTTTGCAGATACTTGCTAATTCTTGTTTCCTTTCTGTGGGAAATCCACAACTATGTTCGCTGAATTTTTTTTTTTTTTTTTTTTTGCGAATGTGAGTAAGAGTGTCAAAGATAGTCGGCGCAAGAAGAATTCAGTAGTATGTACGAGTCTTAGATGCCACGAAATTCTGACCGCAGGCCGCATACCAACAGTCGGCAAAACACACGCCTCGAGAAAGAGAAAAAGAAATAAAGAGAATGAGAGAGAGAGAGAGAAAGCAAGAGTTCACAGTGGACCGCGCGGAAGGCGAAGAGAGGAGAAAAAGGGAGCAAAAGGGAGCAAAAGGGAACTCGATCGCGGACTGC